TGGGGGGACAGAGTTGTCACAGGGGAGGTCGTAACAGTGCTGAAACAGTGTCTGAATAAAGGGACAGCTGGCAGGACGGGACCATGGGCAGGACGGGTGTAACGTTTTGACGATGTGTAATGTATGCAACCCACCACAGGAGAGTAGCTGATAGCAGTTAGCAGCTAACTCAAAGAGGAAAAACAGCAGCCGAAAATGTCCACAAATTGGGAGAACAACCAGGTACAGGAGCTCAGGGAACAAGCTCAGCTGCTGTATAACAGTGACAGTTAATGATTGTGATCGCCATGTTAATACCTTAGTTATTGTTTATAAATTGCTGCCGATGCGTATATGTTTTATGTCATGCTAGAGGTCACCACACCTCTCGTGATTCCGCGATGCTGACATGCTGTCTACAATCACACACACACCATGAACACAGGATAGAACACAGACAAACTGATGAGGAACAAAGGGAAACATACAGGTATATATACACAGAAAGCTAATAACAAGAACGAGACACAGCTGGAACAGGTGGACACAAGAAAAAGGCGGGAAATGTGGATTGACATACAACAAGGGTGTGGAGGGGAACTCTAGGGAGGAGCAAACAAGACTAATACACAACAAGTGTGACGGTAAGACTGTGGGAACAGGGAAGGACTAACGAGACTGAAGGAAGACAGGTGTGATAGAAAACAGGTGGGAAAACACACAAAGACAGAACGTAAAACCAGACACGACACATGAGGAGAGAATCTACAAAATAAAACAGGAAGCGTCATGACCATTTCCAAAGTCACATAGTTCTGATTCAACGTATCCTCATGCAACGGTTTGTATGATACGAAATGTCTGCAAAAACTACAATGCCAACATGTACATGCTATTGGGCTACTGATCTCAGGCTTTCCACATGGCTGCAGAGATTTGGTCCCATCCAGCCGAGAGAGCATTTAACAATCAGTGACACTGGCCCAACAGCCACTGATGTTGGGCGATAAAGCCTGACTCAGTTTACGTTACAGGAGCCAGCTGCATGCACTTTATGTGGAAACAGGAAATGGCCTTCCCCAAACTGTTAACACAAAGTCAGAGGTGCACTATTATCTCAAATATGATTGTATATTGTAGTATTAAGAAAAACAGGAGGCTGCTACGTGTACAATATCCCTCTTTCATTCAACTGTTATTAGTCATTACATCCAGGAACTGTTCCAGCGGGCTGATTAATCTCATCCGTCACCAGAACAAAGGCATTTAATCAGAGTGCAGAAGACCGGAGGTTGCAGAATTCAGATTTCATGGTAATGTAAGAGTGGGAGAGAGGGAGTGAAAGAAAATGTGCTGCTGGTGTGTCACATCATCATAATGTAAAGCACAAAGAGAAACACACACCTGCTTTTCATTTATCTGAAGTGTGCCACTATAAATCAGCTGTAATTTGAATTATTGCAGCTCCAGCATATCACGCAGACTAATTCTCCGAGCCATTCATCCCACACTACAACAAACCCAACATTAACAAGAGAGGGGGGCGGGGGTGAGGAACAAACAAGCGTAGCGGCAGAAATGAGATTAGAATGACGGACGATTGTTGGAATATAACGCAGCAGAAGTACTCGCGGTTTATGAAAATTATTCCAGCGTTGCTCATTTAAGAGCTGCTGTGCCGTGACCTCACTGGTGTCGGTACACACACAATAAAACAGGGATCATATCTCTGTTATGGCTGTTCCAGTCCGGTTTCTGCTGACGAAGTCCCACAAGAAAATTGCCTCTTCTGGCTGGCTCATGATATCCACTGCTGCGGAAGATATAATTTATGCTTTGACTTTATTATGCTGTAACAGTAAATATACAGGATGGAAGAAAGGTGGGGACCAACTCTGGGAATGATTTTTGGGTTGTGAAGGATTGCTTACATGCACCATGCTTGCAGTGTTTGTTGGTCTGTTGGCTTGTTGGTCCACCACTTTAGTCCAGACTGAAATATCTTGATAACTGTTTGATGATTTGCCATCATTTTTTAAAGATATTTTTGAGGGGCTTTTTTGTCTTTATTTGATAGGACAGATATAGCATGAAAGGGTGAGAGAAAGGGGGAGTGATATGCAGCAAAGGGCCGTGGGTTGAAATTGAACCTGCAGCCGCTGCAGCAAGGACACAGCTTTAAGACTTTATGACCTTACGACTTTATCATGCATAAAAAAAATTGAGAAAAAAAGAGGCAATTGTGATCAATCTGATCCAGCGTGTTCTGTGGTGCCCTTTGACCCAATGCGTCATTGAGGACACATTGGCACAGGTCATACGATAGAGGCAGACGAGAAGACGCTGCTTGGCCCTGTGAATAGAATATATTCATATAAAAAAAATGCCCAGATGGAACTGTTGATATTTTTGAAATTTTTGTACCATCCCAGAACTTAAAGCTTGAAATATCGCCTCAGCAGAAAGCATTTAGCAGCGAACCCTGAGGTTGAAGCTAGCACAACCTCCAATGCTAGTACTAGCAGCCAGCCTCGCATTCAGACACAAACTGAGTACGTCTACCTGTGACTGCAGACCAGTTTCAGTGGCAGAGGACAGGGGGACAATTGTGTCCATAATTCAGCAGCTGTAATACTTTCACAGCAAAAATTGATTAATTAATCACAGAGCATGTAATTAGATTAATGTTTTAATTGCTTGACAGCCTTGATATCAATATCCTTCCCTCTCCATGAGAACTGAGCAAACACCACTCAGTGATGGAGACCATGAAATACAGGCCAAAGCTCTGTAAGACATCTAGTAAGTGGACCTCAAGTGAAGATTTTTTTTTTAAAATTAGAATAATATATAATATAAAAATATTAACAAGGTCCGGAATGAAGCCATCAAGCTCAACATTTCTTTAAGTTTAAAAATCATGAAAAAACTCTACTTTGAAATGATTTGTTTAAACAGTACATGAATATTAATAAAGGATTTATTCATGTGTGTTTGTTCATATCATTATATACAATTACAGCTATACTATACTGTGTATAGCAGTGGTTCTCAAATCGTGTGCTATGGTGCCGATCCAGGTGTGCCATGGGATTGTGTGATCACCACACATTGCAATACTCAACTGAGCCTATACAAAAAGTTATGAATGAATTTTTATTTGATTCTATCAGTGTGTTATGCAAACCTTTACCTTAAAAAAGAGTCAAACTCAAAAAATGTAATTTGATTTAAAAAAAATCAACACTGGAAACCTATTTGTTGTCATTAATTATCGCATTATCTTGCATTATTTTCCATTTAAATAGATGTGTTATTGGTGCTTTGATGTGATATTAAAACGTTTAAAATAAATCCTTGAATAATTTTATTAATATATTTATGAGTAATAAATGTTGACCCATTACATCCCCTTATGTGACACCCAGCAGACATGTACATCTGCTGAGCAAAGCCAGACTTTGTTGGCAATTACCGAACCCTCTAAAAGACCATTTTAAAAGAAACATGTAGCAAATTCAAGGCAGTAAAAAACATCAAGCTCTGTGCATTAGTTGTGTGTTTCTGTTTGATTTGTAACAGGATGTTGAGCTCCTTCAGGCGGCTGCACACGCGAGTCGTTGAGCTGAGTGGACTTCTGACAGGTGGTGTCACTCCTACGCGCTGCGAGTCGCTCAACCAGGCAGTGCAGATGGTGCGTTGTGAGCTGTGTACGCCAACAGTTGTTGCTGTGGAGATACTACATACCCCCCCAGTACCTCCTTTACTTATAGTATTGCACATGATCCACTTACTTCTTTAGGAAAGAATGGAAATAATCACAAGCAGTGATATTGTGTTTTATATTTACAACACAAATAGGAAATGTTGTGCAAAGACTAACAAACAAAAACAGCGAGGCCAGAAATCACTGAGCAAAACACTGCTGACAACAAAGGCATGTAATTAACGTGAACTGAAGAAAATGTGCAGTAACAGTATGTACATCTAACTTCATGGAGGATCAAGAAATCTGACATGAGATCTCTGCACTCAGTCTCCAACCTGCAGTCTGAAAGAAAAAAAAAGAGTCGCCATGTGAATTAAGCTGTATTAAATATGGGTTTCACAAATAAGTAAAATATTGTGACAGTGATCCTCAAAGCACAATAACAGGAAATTAAATATTGTAAACTGATCAGATATTGTTCGTGCTTACTGTAAAAGCCTGGGAACCTTTTTTTCAACTGTCATGTCACACATAAACCATCCACTTCTTCCTGATTACTTAAAAGCAATGGCAGAAGGTAAAGAAATAATTGCAAATGTTCAGAAGTAGTTTCATATTTTGGGAAATACTCTCAATCACTTTCTTGCCAAGAGTATGATGAAGAAATTGACACCACTCTTGTGTCTGTACCCTACAGGAAGCTACAACCAGCAGCTTGTTAGCTTAGCTTATCTTATCTTAAAGACTGGACACAGAGGGAAACTGTTAGCAGGGCCGCCCCAGACCAAGAATCTTCCTGGTCGACCAACAGTCGTCATTTAGGGCCATTAGTCGACTAGTCTCCTGCATGTTTACGATATTGATTTAATTTTTAAATGATATATATTTTGGTGGTTTGAGTTGAAGGTGTGAGAAAGAATAGTATCAGTAACATTGTTAACACTGTGCTACATTACAGAGAAATACAAAACCGTACTAATGAACCTTCATTAATATAGGCCTATATTTTATCTACAAGTGCACGTCACACACTGAGCGAGCCGCCTGTTAATGACGCTGTGGGCTAATGGGCTAATGTAGCTACTTCCATGTTTCAGATGATACGTCATGTTTGTAGTCGACCAATGAAGATGAGTTTACATATCACCTTGGGTTCGTCCTTCACCTTCTCAAAATGATCCCACACTTTGGATTTCCTGCCCGACATGTTATTAACTAGCCTGTGGAATAACCGCAGGTACCAGCCCTGGAAATTAACCTGACTCCTGTCTGACTGCTGAGCGTGGACACTTCCTGTGTCTGTCCTTTCAAATTAAATTCACGTTTCACAGTTTTTTTTTGTTTTTTTTTTGCTACTGCAAACAATCAATGAAATCTTGCCAACTAATAACCTTTCTGGTCCACTAACAACTTTTAGGGGGCAGCCCTGCTAATTAGCATGTAAATTCTTGTTTGTTTATGCAGAAACGTTAAAAGGGACAAGTTGTGGAAATCACAGTGCTCGGCCAAAAAACAGTTACAGGACATTTATGATGGATTAAATAAGCACATTCCCCTATTTACAGTCTCTATGCTCAGCTAAGCTAACTGACTGAGAGGCACGGATCATCTCATCTAAATCTTAGCAAAAAAGCAAATAAGCATATTTTCCAAAACTGTCAAATATTCCTTTCAGTAATGGCAGTGAATGACAGAATGACAGCTTTATAAAATGCTGGTATGATTTCCTTCAGCCTCTCTTGCTCATAAACCTGGGCTCTGAAATCAAAGCTACTTTTTGACGTTCTTACACAGTGTTTAACTCCGTTATTCAACGGAGCGAGGTCACAGCAGTCCCAGAGTCCACCTCAACACAACCGGTGAACAGTCGCTGGCATGAATGAAGGACTTGTTCAACGTTTTAGGAAGTATGTTGAGCTGTTTCCCCCTGCTTCTGGTCTTTATGCTAAGCTAAGCTAAGTGGCTGCTGGCTGTAGCTTCATGTTTAGCATATGTGCGTGACAGTGGTGTGAAATCTTCTCATCTAAAAGCTGTTTCTCACCAGTGTGATGCAAAAATGTGGTGCAGGAATATAGAAAATTCGCATGATGAATATTTCACACTGGGTGGGCCAGTGTGAATTATCCATGTTGCCTTGACTTTTTTTGTCTTCATAAGATAACAACAAATTGACTGTGAAAGAGGGAGAGACAGGGGGCAACATGCAGAACCGATCGAATCCACAGCCGCTGCAGCAAGGACATCCACGTGAGAGAGAATATCTAAGGGGCTAACTTCAAGCACACAATCCATCTGATGATGCTAATGCTAGCTGTTCTGTGACATGCATATAGCGTTAGCAAGCTGCTGAGTGATCGAAAGCTATGTATCGTCCTTTATTTAGTTGTTGAGGTAGTCGCGGTGTTTGTTGTACAATGTTAGGTGTTGAGAGGCCAAACTGATAAGACGTTCCCCTATTTTGGCAACAAGCTAGCTACGACCTGGAGGTATGACATCAGTTGGAATAAAAGATTTAATCGACCAAATGTATATTTCCACAGGCAGAAATCAGGGCCCCAGGAACACCACTCAGCCTTGCTTCCAATTTCTACCAGTGGCCACTTCTGGTATTGCAACGAAAAAAATCCCTGTGGCCCTAATAGCATTTTTCTCATAGACCACGATTATAAAAGAAACTGTTGACAGGACACCTTGAACTGCAAACGAGGTCAATTATGACTATTAGTTATGAATATTTGAGCCACGGAGGTTTTATAGTTGTAAATTTTGAAAAATCTGTGATGTCATCATGTAAGGTCTATGAGCCAAGAGGGAACCTGTGGGGGAGCCAGTGAGAAACGTCGCTGCACATATTTAGTGGTCTGGTACCTCAGAAGTAAACCCAGGAGCTAAAAGTTTCACTGGACTAAACAGGCGCCATCTTGGGGTCCAGTATCTAGGTATTATTATTTATCTATGGTGGAAATCGAGGCCCCTGCACAAGTGTTCTACAGGGGTGTGCAACCATTCATGAGACCCCACAAACTCTCAAATTTCTGTGCTAATGTTTCAGATGAAAATCCATGCTTGGTGTGAAACAGCTCTGACTCTCGGCAAGAAAGGGAAAAGGTGTATTTCTCAAAAGATTGAACAGTTCCTTTAAATCTGGCTTCTCTGCAAATGATTTCAAACTCTGACCTGTCTGGAGTCTGTTTATATGATCATATTCGTCCATGTGCAGATCGACAGACAACTGTAATAACAGTATGAATCTTCGTCAGCTGTCTCGTCGTTAGCATTAAGTTGCATCACAACGACCACATTTTATACTGACATTATGGGTACAGTCGACCTAAAGCAGTGTAAATGCTCTTTGATACACAACACCACAAAGAGTCTGTGGCTCGACCCGTGAGATATAATGTCCCAGCTCTTCACAAGTCTCAGTGTTCTGAACATCTTTGTAAAATACATGTCCTGCAGATGACTCCTTGCGTCTGAGTCACAGTTCAAAGTCTGCTCACGCTATGATAAAAAAAAGTTCATTAGGTTTTCACCGTATAATGTTCTTCACATAAAGAAGTCAGAAATGACACAGAGACAGAAATGGGTTTAAAAAACATCAGTGCGTTAGTTGACGTAGTAAAGCCAGTAGATGATGTTGAAGAGGGAGAAGCTGAAGGGGAATATTATCCGTGACCATCTGTCGATGGCGTTCACATCGGTGAGGTCCGGGATTTTGATTTTGAGCTGTGAGGATCGTCTCCGCAGCCGAGTTTTCTTTAGATGCGCGTTCCTGTCCAGGCTGGAGCGCGGCCCGCTTGGCTTCCTGTACTGGACCCCCGAGTTGTCGTACACCATGGAGGAGGAGTTGTGGGTCTCGCTTACAGTGGTTGTGATCTCATTCCCTCCCACCTCGTTGTGGATCTCCAAGGTTGTCAGCAAAATGTTCCCCTGGGAGTCGACCTAGGCACAACAGACAGGAGCGGTGTTAAAAATGGGCTGTGAGCTGCGGCGTTGGTGACTGATGACACTTGTGCAGCGTGCGTCAGGCCCCGGGGCCGCCGTCTTCCAGCAGGCTGACAGATTACAGCCTGGGAAACAGAGAGCGGCCTTCAGAACCAGGTTTCCAGTCCCAAAGTTAAATCACTTCTCACAAATCAGCTCAAGGTTGGACTGGATGGCTCTAATACTAATGTCATGACAGCTCCTGCTCCCCACACAAAAACACACACAGAAACACTCATAAATCATTCACACCAACTGTGTGGCGAAAATAGAAGCACAATATGAACACAGTCATATAACAATGTGGTTACAAGACATGAGAGGAAGTGACAAGGTGAATATTTATTTTCTCAGTCTGTCAACTTTAGTGTGAACTAGTAACAGACACTCGACAGCTGATGAACTGTAGGGCCTGGACATCATCACATATATACAGTGTTTCATGTAACTATAACACAGGACTGTCTACATGTGTGTCCTTTGCATATCAGGAGAACCTTTCATCTGATCTACTTTACACGTGGCGGGTGTATTGCTGGGTAACCACAGATGTGCAGTGTTGAATTTGGTGTGATTTGGACACATGACACATTTGATAATAATAAACTTTGAATGATGTGAATAAACAAGCTAACAGCACTCTGTGCAGCAGTGGGGCGGGGCTTCAGGGCTCTGGATGCTGGATATACTAACATTACAACTGAACTCATCTTCACTTCCTGGCGTCAACAAGCATGAATGGATAGTCTACTTAAACTGTATACATATGCCATACTAACTTACAATGCTTATAACGTTACCACAGGCAAAATACATCCACTAATAAAATCAATGCATTACTTTAAAACCGTAGTGGTTACGTCAAAGTAGCTGACCCTTCACTAAGTCCTGCCCCCAGACGCAGACAAGCCAATCATAACAGCATCAGGCCGGCTCAGACCAGCATCCAACAACAACACAGCTGTGCTCCATTGACTCTAATGCCATCATTTCAGATTTCCTTCATTTGCAGGCTGGTTTTGTGGATTTGGAGCTAAATGTTGTGTCTGGGGCACGTCGTGTATTAATGATACTCGTTACCTGGAGAGGTTGGAAAAAGATATACGTTTCTTCCCTGTAGAGATGTAGAGATGTCTGCCTTCTCTCCACTAAAGTGGAACTAGATGCCGTGTGACTTGCGGGGCTCAAAGAGCCAAAAAAATGTAGGAACCATGTACTTTCTCCTGAACTACACCTTCCAACCATATCACCACGCAAAGGAAGTGTTCATAATATGAATGGTGAAAAGTAATTGTAAATGTTGGTGTTGTAAGTCAGGAAGAAAAAACTTTTTATGCTCAGGCTGTAAGTTTCTTTCTCACCCTGCTGTTCACTCCTTCATATGTTCACTCACTATTTCTAGGTGACATTATCTGGGTAGGTCAATTGAGTCAGCACTGATTCACAATCAACCAATAGAACAGCGATGCACCTTCTCTGTCAGCATATCATCTTACTGCTCCTCATTTTAAATGTGGTTCTTTCTCTGCTGTAGTTTTTTCTCACTTTATGGATTCATCAGCCTCATATGCCTCAGCAGTCATCAGCCTCAGCAGTCATCAGCCACCACCTCCACCAGTGTCTGGACTCCATGGGGGGATTTACCCTGCTGCCATTCAAATGTCTCTCGATCACTAAATATCTCCATCAGGTGTCCAAGCGCCAAAGACGTAATCGGCACAAATCATCTGTTAATCTGTACGCTCATATTCTGTATTGAATATTATCTTTTCTTCACTCTCCTGTCTCTCCTGATTGAAATATAAATCCTCGACTGTGTTTATCAGGCACTAATGGACAAGACAGTTGGAGTTCACATGGTAGCATAGATCTTGATCTAGCACTACTGGCGTCTGGGACATGCCTTGCATCCTTTAAAGTAGTCAGTTATTTTAATCTTGATATATAGACCTTAAAGTAATAATTATCATTATGCTATATTTTTTATATGTGTGTATCTGTATGCTGTGGTTTGTTAGTGTTTGTGTCATGGATTCCCTTGATCAGACCCCCTACTGTATGTAGTCCTTTTTGTATGCTGAGTAGTTTGTTGGCATTTCCTGTGCATCAGGGCAAAGGTACAAAGACAATAAAACACAGTCAAACACCACAGAGAAAAAGGAAATATAAACAGGAACATTTTGATATGTGATGGTGATAATGACAGAGATGGCAGGTTGGCATGTGATTAACAATGTTCCCTGCTTAAAATGTCAAACTTTGCCCTGCAGCAGCAAAGTTTCAGTGGAGGTTTCACAGATGTGACACAACAGGCAGTGACAGACACTCACCCGCCGTGAGTGACGACGCCCTTGTACCTGATTGGACTGTTTAACAGACGAAGACTTGCAATTGCCTCCTTCCAGTACGGACTAGCCGGGAGAAAGACAAACAGAAACCCCTTTGTCTGAGCTTTGGTCAGGAGTTAGCTGAGGTGTCACAGAAACTGAGAGTCACAGTGGGCACAGACGCCTCAGAGAGGACGGAGATAGGACAGGACAGGAAGTTCGACTGTATGGACCAGACAAGTCCAGTGTTGACAATTCATTACATACAAGTGTACCATGGAAATGGAGAATTGCTCCACCTGATAAACAGCCTCATGTACAGTACATGTTAGCAGTCTTATCCACATATGTACCTGCTACTCATCTTCGTTTCTCCTGCTTGGAGTTGTAAACTTTGACATGTTGACATTTAATCTACTTAGACTTTGGACCACTTTAGGTGCTGAAATTTGAAATAACATGCATAACACAAAGTCCTACAATTAGGAATGGGAATTGGAACCATTTCATTGACACCAAAGCTGTTATTCATTCTGCTTATTGGTCCAGTCCTTATCCATCCAGCTGATTGATGGAAGAGAGTATTCTGATAGATCGTATGATTCCTTTCTATGCAACCAATTGGCAAATCTGCTACTTCTGCAAGCCACTTTGCAACCTGACTCCACCCAGCTCCTCCTTTTTATGTTGTGTCTGACTTATCATTAGCTATGTTTCCATCCAAAAGTGATTCGAATCATTGGGAAATGCGTATTAAAAGAAATACGAATCCTGTGTGTTTCCATTAAATATACGGACTTTGGTGAAAACTACGAATTCACGCAAGTTTTCCACAGAACCGGAAACAAAACAAGTCTCGCATTCTTCTTCTTCTACGTTTTCTGGCGGTTGGCAACCAGCTTGTAAATGCATTACCGCCTTCCCGACCCGGAGTGTGGATATCACCATGGAGAGAGGTGCGCTACGTCAGACTTAATTCAAACTGTTTCCATCCCCCGTTTTGCGAATCAACATTTTTTCGAATCAACCAAAACCCAGCTAAAGCGAGCGTATTTTAGTTTGTGCGAATCAGGGGATTTTAATTCGAATTTTGGCGTTTCCATCATAATTTTCCGATGTGATACTTCTAGATGCGCATCTAAACAGGCTGATGGAAACATGGCTATTGACATTTCTGTTTGTCATCGATGCTGCTCTGTTCTGTTCCCAGGGGTCTTTGCTGCTGCTCTCCCTGCCTTAGGCTTTCCATGTAGGCGCATGGAAGGGCAGGGAGGTGTGCTCTCTTTGCCTCAGGCTTTCCACGTTGGTGCGTGGAAGAGACTTTCTGCGTAGGCCTGAGGAAAAGGCAGAGAGGCCCCAGAACAGAGCCATACCACCAAATATAATACTAGTTTTCTTTGACTAAAGTATTTATACAGCATTCTTTTTTCATTTAGGTTTTTTTCATCAAAGAAAAAATCTGCTGGGGCGTCGGTGGCTTAGTGGTAGAGCAGGCGCCCCATGTACAAGGCTGTTGCCGCAGCGGCCCGGGTTGTGGCCCTTTGTTGCATGTCATCCCCCCTCTCTCTCCCCCTTTCATGCTTACCTGTCCTGTCCGTTAAAGGCAAAATGGCCAAAAAATATCTTTAAAAAAAAAAAAAAAATCTGCTAAGCCTAACTGTGTGGCGCTAATGTTTACCCATACTGAAGGTGCTTAGTTGGGAAGCAGTTTCACTCGTGTTTAGAGCGTCAAATACATGGCATTCCTAACATATAAGCACATATGTTTCAGCATATTGCCAGTGTTTCCACCCTGACTTGTAATTATCATTTTAAAGACGTGACAAGCAGCACTGATGTCGTCTTTCTTTGTGAAATAAAGCCATGCTTTGGACATAATGCCAGCTGACAGTCCATTTTTAAAGGGTGATATAATTCCGATAGTTCAGAACAGGAAAAAAGGGATAGGCAATTAATCAACTGATATCACCCGCCCCCAAAAAACGATGAACGAAGAAAGGCAGTATTTTGTTGTTGTTTTTTAATGTAAAACATGTATATAAGTAACCTTGAGAATTTTATTATTAGTATATGACAGGGCTAAATTTAGTAATTTTGTGTTTTCAAAATACTCAAAATACTATACTATACTATATGACTGGACCGTGTATAAAATGCTAGAGGGCTTTTAATTTTAGATAAGGGCTTTTAAGTTGAAGCAGGAATTGGCAGTATTTACTCAGTCACAGACTCACTGACTTTTACTCTAGCACTGATGCTCTGGACCTGTTGTTCTGGTCCAACCAAAAAATTCACATAAAAGTAGTACAGTATACTTAGACACAGTAACAGTAAGAGAGACCTGCTTTTTCTGGAGCTGTACTCACTGCTCATTTAACACAACCTTCCCCTCTGCAGCTCCAGTTGGCGATGTACGTCCTCATATGGCTGGTGCAGGCTGCACAGCCATTGGCCACTCTCTGAGCCAAGTTTCACTGATAACGATAGTTTGTAAACCGATAAATCTGATCCCTGCTTTGGATAGCTCCTCCTGTTGCAAGTTTCTAGCAGCGTAGACACATTAGTTTGACATCACTGTCTTGCAATGCACAACTGTCATCACTAAAGAATCAATAAGCTTGGAGCATACAGTTCTGGTGGATCAGATAATTTTGAACCACCTGTAACCAGTTCTCAATTCCCATCCCTAACAGTGACTTATAATCATTGGGGGTGCCAAATTTGGACATTTTTAAAATCATAAGCATAACAAAGAGCCTTACAATAAATAGGTTAGTTAAAAATGTTACTCACAGCTCTAAAAACACTGTGGCCTGTTGTTCTGAACCGCCCATCTTATCTTTGCGAAATGATAGGGTATAACCTGATTCTCACCTTGGGTCCATCAAATTTATCCTGGTCATTATTTGCCTTCTGCGCCTTCTCAGCCAGTTTCTTCTGCATCTGAGGACCTCGTCCAAAGAAGATGTAGTTGACGAAGGCGTATTCCAGCAGTGCAAGGAAGACAAACACGAAGCAGCCCATCAGGTACATGTCTATAGCTTTCACATAGGGGATCTTGGGCAGAGTCTCTCTTAAATGGGTGTTGATGGTTGTCATGGTCAGGACAGTGGTGATCCCTGGAGGAAAAAACAAGAGACTTTGAGTCAACGTGTTGAAAATTAGAACTGAAATTACTGCCTTGCAGCAACCAGTCAAGTTGCATTTATAGTTTTCATCCGTCCAAGATTAGCGTTACCAATTACATATCTGACCAAATGTCTCCCCCTCTGTTCCTGAGATGTGGCATAACAGCCAGAAAAGTGTTTTTGCACACTTTGTGATGTCACAGTGAAGTTGGCTTTTGACCTTTTGGATATAAAATGTCATCACTTCATAATTATGTCCTATTAGGCATTTGAGTAATTTTTTTATAATTAGCACATGAATTCTTGAGTTATGGCTAAAAGTTAACAGTGACCTTTGACCACAAAATTTTAATCAATTCAAAGCTGAGTCAAAGTTGATGTTTCTGCCAAATTTGAAGAAATTCCCTCACGGTGTTCCTGAGATATTGTGATTATGAGATTGAGATAGACGCAAGGTCACAGTAACGTTGACCTTTGACAACCAAAATCTAATCAGCTGATAGCTGAGTCCAAGTGGATGTTTGTGCCAAGTTGAAAAAAATCCCTCAAGATAATTTTGAGATATCGCTGTCATGAAGGTGAGACAGATGAGGTCACAGTGACCTTAATCTTTGTCTCACGACCACCAAAATCCTCCTGTTTCCTGCCTAGGCTATCATTGGTGCTGAGGCATGAAAAACAACTAACCTTGAACACAAACTGCGTGGTCATAATAAATACAGATGTCTTTTGCTGATTAAAGTGGCCGAATATTTATGTAGATCAATATTTCGTGTAGAATTATTTTTTTAGGCAGAAATTCTTTTGTTCTGCCATTTAATCTACAGCTGTGTTACTAATGTCTGTAAAACAGCTGTTGCTTCATCTGTGCAGTGACCTTTTTTAAACCTTTTCAATTGCGCTCTTAGCTTTGTTACTGATGTGTGTTTACGTCATAGCTAATAAATCAAATAATAACCTAGTTAAAGATTCTACAGTGCCTGGTTTATTCTCCTTTATTAAGAGTTTCTTAAATCAAGACTCTAATTAAAAATCCATTTGTGTAGCATCACAGAGGCTAAGATGAGGATACACTCATCAGAGTGCTATCAACTCATCAGAGAGAGCACTGTACTTTTCTTTCAAGGTCTCACCATGAGTCATTTTCCTCAGGTGCAAGTACAAACATTTCCATCAGTCCTGATTATAACAGTTAATAACCTTGAAAATTGTTCAGATAAAAGTTCTTCCATGCCTCTTCTTGGCAAGTTTGAATTAACTTGGATTGGAAAAGCAGAAAGCGCTTCACTGTACAGCTCATGTAGCGTACAGCGGGTGAACAGACTCAGCAGATACACAGTAACCAGTAGTGTAGTAATTCTCTGGATAATCTGCACCATCAACAGTAAATGTGTCTGTGTTGTTCTGTGTCTCCTGGATGGCTCACCGACCTGGACGCTGCATCTATTTCTGTCAACTCAGGCTTACATAATTAAACCAAAAATGTTGCACTGTACAGTGCTGTACTGTATGTGTGGGGGTGTTAAGAGCGCTGTGGGTTTATGGCATTGATTTCTGCAGAACAAAGGGAAGAGCAAGAATTTAAAGTCTCTCAGAGCTCTGAGGAGAGCGTTACTCAACAAATCCCTGAAATATGTTCAGTGCAGCTCTGTAGAGTTTACTGTCTTTGACTATACATCAGTAAAAAGTAAAGGGACTTTGTTATCACACCATTAAAGGCCAGCTCCATGTTTCTTTCTTTATGTCTTTCTGTAGCTCCCAGATCCCAACATTTGAGTTTTGTCAAAAATATGTATATTTTATCATCAAAACATTATTTTCCCAAGCCTTTCTAAAAACATTTTTCCAAGTGACCTAACGTAGGTTTTTGCATGACAACGTTGCTACATACAAACCTCCTCACTCGCCTAATGTTCCTCTCTGTGACTGATCCAAGCCTTATTTAAGACTTGTGTGTAATCAGTCTTCCAAACACCCTGTATTCTAATAACCACCTAACTGGCATGGAAGCTAGCTAACTAGCTGATCGAGGCAGTGGTAGACCAGCAGCTCCTGTGTTCTGCGAGGTAAAATTACCGTTTTTGTCAAAGGAGTCTGGATGCTTTCAAGAGGGCGATATAAAGGCTTCAGTTCCGCGTCAGAGAGGGCTGTCTGATGGCAGTGTAAAGCAGTGAAAATATTACACAGACCACAGATGAGTACCTCATCAATGTATGCTCACAGAACAATTTGCATGATATCCTATGAATTTGTGCCCTATGAATACGTCCTTGACGTATAGTTGTGTAATTAATGTAAAGCTATGGAGGTTTGAAGTCTGGGGTGAAAGTCTGTTTTTTTGTAACTCATTCACCACCCCAACCTGCCTCCTTACAAGCCTTGTTTACTGCCATCAGTGCATTGGTCACATGATTGCAGCCTTTCAAAATACGTGGGATATGTATGGATTTGGCACATTGTTTATTGTAGGAAAACATATGAAAAATGTTTAAATAAAACCTGGAAGAGAACATAGATGGACCCACCCTTTAATATTAGGATTAACTAGCGTGCTAACCACAGTACAAGAACAATGCTACTTCATTATTCCTACTTCTTCTACACTGAATCATTAACTGGTGACTTTTTGCCTGGGACCTGTAGCCTCAGTGTTGAAGCACAATATCCCATAAGTAGACATTATTAAGACCCATTTTACACAATACTTGATTTAAAACATGTTAGTCTCTATATACAGACTCTACATTCACTGAATGTAGAGTCTGTATATAGAGACTAGTACATTCACTGAATGTAGAGTCTGTATATAGAGACTAGGGTGAACATAGACGAGAGTAGCAGACCCCGGAGATCTTGCCTCCAGAAGAAGAGCGGAAGAGCCCTGGTTTCTGGTTGTAGGCCGGAGGTGGAACATAATTGGCGTCACTGCAAACTCTGAATCCATCGCAATGGTTCAGCATATTTACTTATATATAAACGGAAGTCGGAAACGGAAATTCGCCTCCTCCGCCCAAATCAAACCGGAATACCAAAAAATCGGGGGTCTGCCCCAGAGGCTGTATCACCGTCTGCCGAAAGTCAGACGCCGAATACAGCCGATGGGTTCCGACAATGAAAACATGTCAACTAGAAACATCACAAAGAACAGCCGGGGACAGCGCTTTTAATCTCTATAAACAAATTCTGCATGTGTATGTAGAATCTGTCGGTAATGGGACAAGAATTTGGTAATGAAAGCGTTCTGGTTTCTGTTTGTAGTCCGAGTAGTATTGACCAATCATATCTGGGTGGCACGTAAACAATTCGCGTGGAGGGGCGGAACACATTGGCCGAAAGGCAACCCTGGAACACACTGACTATCAACTCACGATGATTTAACTTTATATAAGCTTTTTTAAAAATGTATCTGCATTCATAGAGATTAGCTGAAATGTCCCGCACACGGAGGAGAACATCGGATCTCCAAAAAATCTGTCTGTTCATCTTCGTCAGACCGATAGCTGATGGGTTCGGAGATTTAACTGTTTTCAGCAAACTCATGGAGCTAACATTAGCTTGATTAGCCTGTTAGCTACTGCTGATATCCGCCTCAGACAACTGTCATTCGTTTCAGCTGCAAAATCCATGATTATCAGCTAGCAATACCGAGCCTGTTTTTGTCGACTCATTTCTTGTATCAAAGAGACATTGTTTCAAAAACAAGTACAAATTTTCATGATAAATTTGGCACCACCGCTTAGCAAACTATCAGTTACCTGATATACTCTATACACCATGCAGCTGCAATGAGATTCTCAGTAATTACACTGTATGATCTCTTAAAGCCTTACTTTAAACGTCATTTTCCACTGATGTCTGATAGGTATCCCTGCAAATGTAGTTTTCCTCAGGATACTCAAACCACCATAATGGCAGAGGCAGTGGAAACCTATGGTGAATCATCACATAGACGGTGATTGAATTTGGATAGTACAGTAAGTGTAAATGCTCTCTAACTGCATTGATCTCACAGTGTTTCAGACAGCAGTCCTCTCAGTGTGGAGGTGTTACAGCAGACCAACCGTCCCCTGAACAGGTCTAACCCTGCAGAGGTGCCTCCTGATCCGGCTGCTAACCAGGCCCCTCACACGTTCATCTTTACAAAACGGTGATCACACAGCTGGGATTTAACTAATGCTGTCATCACATGTTCTTTCTTACAGACACTTTGTGTGCATTGATGCTGAATGAGGATTTCCATTAAGGCAAAGATCAATGCAGCTCGGGGATGGCAGGGTGTTTTCCAGTGGTGAACTGAGCCTTGTATTCGTTTCAGTCCCAGACTCCCAGAGGCCAGTGGAAAGCATGAGTCTCCTATTACACCTCAGACAGAGCAGCAGCCTCAAACAGACTGAGAGGAACACACAGTCATGTTAAAAAGTTCATTCTGAATCTAATATTTATCTGTTCACATATGACTAAAGTGTGGGAAGAGGTCAAACTTTGCAAGCCATTTTGGCTACTGAAGAAATGCTGACCAACTCCTCACTACGATGAGCTGGAAAAATCACGTGTGGCCCTGGTTGGTTGAAGCCAGTGGTGTTTCTGACCACCTGACAAATTTAAATCCAATATTCACTCCCATTTGAGCTCTGATTTGGGCTCCACCAACTCCTAGGAAATATCTTTTTAGCTGCTAAATGCTCCACCATGTGGTTTGGTTTGTTTGTCAGCAGGTTAATGGAAAAACAACTGGCCAGATTTTCATGAAATTTAGTAGAAGGTTGTAGCATGGGCCAAGGAAGAGTCCATTAACGTTTGAAGCGGGTGGATGCACAAATTATTTTTCACTTTTGTCAACGTTGCAAGATAGGGCATTGTAGCCTGTTCCCATTCCCAACTTGTTAAATACAGCCGCTATGTTACTAATTTCTGTGTCAGACACCAACACAAAAAGACACTTTTCATGTCAGTTCGAAACGCTGCAGATAACAACGTAATATAAGGAGCTG